ATAGAAGCTTGAACAAACTTTATGTAAGGCAACTTTTAATAAGAAATGATATGTCCCTGTCTCACTGAGTTGCCTTAAGAAATTGTTTATAGCAATAAGGCTACACTTACGCAAATCTTGTACTTAATAGTTTTAGTATACATATTGTAATTGTACATTAATTTTGGAAACACGAGAGATTTATATTTTTGTATGCATTGAAATAACTCAAAAATTACGGAGCAGATTTAAAAAATTCTTTCACCTTTAGAAGGTTACGTTATAAGTGTGTAATATAGGCTATATTTTTATCATTTCACGGGGACGAAGCCGCGAGTAACACCTAGTTATTAAATAAATACAACTTTATTTTGGAATAATTCAAATTAAATGATCATTGTTTAGCGATAGGACGGGCAAGATCGAATCATCCTTTTAGCTTAACTACGCTTTACAATATTTTTTCAAAGTGATGTTAGATACTATGTTATGGATATGAAGGCATTACCGCGAGCGCGATGGAGGCGAGCGTGGAGCGGTTGTCGTGTCGGGGCGTGAGCGTGGTCCGGGAGTGGTGCGCGCCGAGCTCGAACAGCGTGTGGAAGCGCGTGGGCGCGGGCGGCGGCAGCGCCAGCACGCCGCTGCGCTGCCCGCCGGGCCGCTGCACTATGCGCTCCAGGTGGCTCTGACGTAATTATACAGGAGAACCAGTTATAAAATCAAATAATATTTAGTCCTTAACAAGACAATCAGAAATACTAATATTATGAACCCTAAAGTATAGATGGATGGTTGTCTATTAGAGTTTGAAGCCTAAATTGCTGAAAGGATATCGATGAAATTGCAAGTATGTAGAGGATAGTCTGGAAGAACACAAAGGCTATTTATTTTTGTTTTTTAATTCTAAGTGGACGAAGTTGCGGGCGAAAGATAGTAGTATAATGTCATTGAAACTTTATGGCAGCTTGCAATTTTACAAGACTCTACATAGTAGCATAGCAAAGCTTAGCCAATATGGTTTAATAGCCAAATAAGAGATTTTTTCTACATAGATCATAATCATCATCATCTCTCCTGCCTTATCCTACTCCCGTAGGGTCGGCGCACCTGGTTTACGTCCTCCAAAGCACTCTATCATCCGTCATCTCAGTCATCACTCCCTTCATCATGTCACCTTTAACGCAATACATCCATCTCTTTCTAGGTCTACCTCTACCGGTGTACCTCCACATTCATAACTAACGTCCGTCTTGTTACATGCGATTCATTCCTTCTCATATGCCCATACCACTCTAACATTTTACTCCTTATTTTCTCAACCACTGGGCTACTCTTAAACTTCCTTTAATATACTCATTAGAGTTGTTTTTTCTATATAGACATGGAACTAAAATAATTACCGATTCACAATGATCAGTATCCAATAAGAACACAGCACATCTTTCGCACTTCAGTAACTCTCGTGCCTCCGTCATTATCTTCGTCACTAGACATTCTAGATTACTCTGTTCTTCAAATATACTTCTAGCTAGTGCTAGAAGGATTTGATTCCTTTTGTACTCGAGGACTGAAGACTCGAAGAGCTGCGCGTTTTGAATACCTATGCCACAGAAGGTAAGGTACCGACGGAATACTTCAACGTCTCTTGCGGAGAATTCCTTTGAACCTGAAAAATAAACATTTTGTGCATTTTTCTTTTCAGTACGCCTAGATTTAGCAAATAGAAGTAGTGTAGTCATCTATACAAATAATAAAATTGAAGTGTCTGTTTGTAATATTAAAAAGAAATTTTTCAGATTTTTGGAAGATGCATTTGCGTTGCTGAAAATCGCATTTACAAATTTTTCGTCTGTCTGTCCACAAGCCGCATTTGTTTCGGGGTAATCTCTGAAATGGCTGGGCCGATTTCGACCAGACTTTCACTGAAGAGTAGCTGACATAGGCGGGTATATTATATGCCTTTTTTATTTTAATATCGCGTAAACAAAGTCGCGGACAATAGCTAGTATAAAAAAAATTGTAGCTTACAATTTGGGTATAACAGTTTTAACAGAAAATGTACAGTTTGTCTATGGTGAAAGTATTGAACTTAAATTCGAACGAAGTCCAAATAAAACGTAATTAACGTTTTAAATTTTTATAACAGCAAAGTAATGATACAAAAATTTTATATACATTTTGATAGCATAAAAAATTCTTCGTGGATTTCAGAAAAATATCGACCGTGACATGAATTGTTAACAAAAGAACATCAACCATTTCATTCTCCCGCAGTATTCAGATCACGTTGTTATGGATTTGATACTTTTGAAT